TCGCTTCATCCGTGACACACACATACATCCATTTTTTTAAGGTATGCCAAAATGTTCAGAAAGTTTGAAACGTAAAGATATATAAACATTTTCATTTGCGATTACTATAACTTGCTCTACGGGAAGATAATAAAATGCCATTTGGCGGTCAAAATAAATCATCATTAAACATATGCACTTCAAATTATCAGATATTTTAATAAGTGCAAATTTTGTTCGCATTTTTATGGGTTCCGTACCAATATTTATCCGTTAAAGTGCGCGTAAGCGCTGGGTCGCTTCGATTTTTTGTCTCTAAAACAGCCACGCAACAATTGTTTTGAAAATAAATCAAAATTTTCTATATATAAAAAAATTTCAAATTTGTCAAAAAAGTCAATTTAAAAATAAATAAATAAAACATATCAAAAATATATTTTATTCAAAGTTTTCAAAATAAAAATCAACCTTTTTTTAAAAAAAAATAATTTTCGAAACAGAAGTTTCGGCATATGTCTTAATGCCATGCACGCCTAGTTTATTTATCACATATTTCCTATTTGTCTCTCGTCCTTGAAGTATGAAATTTATTTAAAAGCATTACATAACCACTTTAATATAAAACCATTTAATATAACGAAATCCACTATAACTATTACTATTTCTATATGATTATATGCGATATGATGTATTGTGCACAACAATCGCGCATTCAGGCGCAATTCGCTAATGGGTTCCGCCTTCGCGCAATAACCGCCCCCGAGGCATCCATCTAACGGCCGACTAGACTGTATCAATAAACGTTGAACGGTATTAAAATAAAAGCTTTGCCAGTTCGGAATAGATATTTCATAGGAGTATTTACGAAATTGGATTTTCGCACAATAACATCGTCGTTTTCCTCCACGTCTTGCAATATTGACTAATGCTTTGGAGCTGCTCCGGCAGCTAGCACATAAAGGCCCCAAGGAAAAGCTATCGTCGATATCTCTTACGGGGCTATGATGATACCATATTTCAACACGCGAATGTGATAACTTCCAGTCACGATATCTTAATGACACACGAAGATATCACTTTTGAAACATCGACGGGTTATTTATATGAAAAATATGAGAATTTTAAAGAACCGGATCGTTCGTGGAAATGTTTGAAATGTGTGATGCTTTCTTGACGATGGAGCGTATAATATATTCTGCTAAAAGCATTCAACGGTTTCAAGGTTTGGCTGCAAAAAAGTACGTGATTTGAATTTATGAGGTCATAATACTAAGATAAATAGAATATGATAATAATTCACTTATTTAATTGATTTAGAGTTAATTTTATCATGGCAATTAAAATGTGGAAGTATATTTTTCACAGCAGTTATTTAATCAAATATAGTATAAAAATAATTGTTTAAAGTTAGCTCGAATTTCTGCAAGTAAAAAATACACCCATACTTCGTTTTACACGGTACATGTTTTACATGATTTAAATCATACACAGTTTTGAATTTTTTTCACATTTTCATTGTTTTGCTGTCAAAATACAACACTATAACATGTACGTAACAGTTATGAATAATCAGTCTCTATCTTTGATGGAAATAAATGGATGAGCTGAAAACCCCCTGTTTTATGATCAAAACTAAATTTTATGTGTGCATAAGCTGGTTTGTTTGAAATACCGAAACGAAAAGTATAATCGTTTTCAAATTTTATTTTTAAGTGGTGTTTATATATAAATGATAGCGAAAAATGCAACACTACGAAATGTTGGTTAGCGTTACGATTTCTTAGTAGACTTTGTCTATGATGGAAATATGTAGATAAATTTTTATTGTGTATAAGCTAGTTTGTTCGAAATACCTAAATAAAAATTGCTTTTATACTTCATTTTTAGTTTGTGTTTATATATATATTGATAGCAAAAAATGGCTTTTCTAATTGATTTTTGATTGAATCATATTAAAAACCGACAAAAAGTGCTTTTTCATAGTGATTTTCGCTTAGAACGGTTGTTCTATACAAAAGTAAAAAAAAAGTTCAAGTAACACGGTTTTTCATGAAACCCATCTTCCTTGTAAAACAAGGGATAGGTGTACACGATTCAATTTTTATATATGCATGAAACTAAATAATTAAAATAACATTATCCGAATTGTTCTTATTCAAACGTAAATTAAAAATGCTATTTTACTTAATTTTTTAAATATATAATGACTAATATTTATATTTCAACATTTTATTTATTTTATAAGCAATATTAAACCTTGTGTGATAGAAGTCTGTATGAGTCTAAATAATGACCACGTGAATTAATTTATCAGATTAGTAATAAAAATAAAATCAAGAAGCAATTAGAAATTGCAAAGAACCGTAAACAATGTAACAAATTAGTCCCAGAACTTCCATTTATTAGTTAAATATATGAAAATTAAAATAATCACTGTAGAAATTATATCTGTGTTATTCGAAATTTCTTCTTTCACGCCACTTTTCTGCAATAATAATACAAGCAATCTGACTATTATTACAAATATGAGTAGTCAACTGTAAAAGATAAGGGTTGTTAACCCTTTCAGAAATTGTGCATAATCCAATAGCTATTTTGAGGATTTGAAAATTAGTATATTAAAAAAAAGTGAGAATATATTCATTTGGAGGCGGCCCAGTCACTTGTTGGCCTGAAATTTAGAACTATCATCTAGCACAGATAATGAATGCTGAGCAAACACAAGAAAGACACTGGATGAAATTATTTGAATAATTTATTCACAATGTGAATTGATACAAATCGAATATAAAACTGTAATAGTCACATAACAGATGAACGAACAGGAATCACACCGATAAACCAGTCATCATCAAAATAATTAAAACTTGCAGCCACATCTCATCATTTTGAAAATACCAGAGATTTAGTATTGTGCTAATATAACAATTGAAATTTATACTAGTACTATCTGACGCTACTCTGGCGCTTGCAAACTGCAAATAAATTGTGTTATAAAGAATACAGAGTTGTTACCTTAAATAAGGATGATTTTTTAACATTTTTGCGTAAATTATTTGTAGGAACGCGTGAACAAACAGTAAAATCAATAGATTAATATCATTGAAACGAATAAAATTGCACTTCATGAAAGATTTACTACGTTATAGAGATTGAAACTCGCGCCACAAAACATATACGAGTACCTATGCATTTGTGTAGCCTTTCGGATTGCAATAATATATATATATATGTATATTATTGCAACTATATATATAATATATATATAAAATATATTGCAACGAATATATATATATATATATATATATATATCTTATATATAAAAATGGACCGCAAAATGTGTTGGTAAGCGCATAACTCAACAACGCCTGGACCAATTTGGCCAATTCTTTTTTTAAAATGTTCGTTGAAGTCCAAGGATGGTTCTTACGGCGAGAAAAAATCGAATAATTGCCGGGAAAACCCTAAAAACAGCCCTTTTCTAACTAATACGTATAATCGTAGTAGGCTTCTCGATATTATTTCATTTGTTTTACTTTCGGCAGGCGACAAAATTGGTATGGCTTTAACAGATTTGACTTCAAGTCATATAAGATAAAAAAAAATCAATGTGAATGTCCATTTGCCGCCCTTGCCGTTGTTGTTTTTGTTGCATTTTCTGTTATACGCTAATGAGTGTGCTTTTGTTTTGTTGGTAGTGTTTTGTTATCTACCAATGAATAAAAAGTTATTGCATGTGACACAATATTTCAATAATGCCTCCTATAAGACGAGGCAATTTAAGTAGGAGAACCCGAAACGCTACAAACCAAGCTAATTACCGATCTAATCGTACTTCACAAGAACACGACGACCGAAATGAACATGAAAGAATTAGGATATCACAAACACGTGAAGCGCGACCACGACTTTCAACTAATAATCGCGCACGTTTGAATCGAGCTGCTTTTAGTTACGATGTGTCAATTGACTACAGTAATTACCAATGTGTTGTTATTGGTTCTATGAACTCGGTTTGCTCATATTGTAAAGCATTAAAATACAAAAACGAAGCCGCTGGATTGTGTTGCGCAAGTGGTAAAGTGAAATTAATACCATTGAATCCACCACCAGAGCCGTTGTACTCATTGGTTTCAGGAATAGGAACAGATTCCATACACTTTTTGAAAAATATCCAACAATACAACAATTGCTTTCAAATGACTTCATTTGGTGTTACAAATGTAGTTCGGGACAATTTTATGCCAACTTTCAAGGTATGTATTACAGCAGTAATAACAATACATAAATTTATTCTACACATTACTTATTTATTTTATTTTAAAATAAAACGCTATGTTTTTGATATATATTTATAGATTTTTAATTTATAGATACAAGGAAAAATATGTCACAGAGCAGGTTCATTGTTACCAGTGCCTGCTAGCAACTATGAATTCCTGCAAATTTATTTTATGGGCAATTCACAACAAGAAATTGATCAGCGTTGTGCATATAACAATTTAGTGAAGAGGCCTATTGTAGAACAATTACAAACTTTTTTTCATGAACACAATCAATTGATTATATTGTTTAAAACTGCACTTGATCTGATGCCATCTGATAATCACAAAATTGTAATCAGAGCTGATAAAACACCTGCGGGTCAACATGCAAGACGTTTCAATGCACCAACAATTGATGAAGTTGCTATCGTTGTAGTTGGAGAAAACTTTGATTCCCGTGATATTGTTTTACATCGTCGGAATGATCAATTACAACGTATAAAGGAAACACACCGCTCATATGATGCACTGCAATATCCCATTATATTTTGGCAAGGTGAAGATGGATATGATTTCTCAATAAAAATGATAAATCCCATTACAGGTAATTAAAATATTAGTTTAGCAATGACGATTATATCTCACTCGATATATTATGTATTTTAATTTTATATTTCAATGTTAATACTAAATATATTTACAGGTTCTGAAATCATCAAAAAATTAAGTTCGATGAATTATTATTCATACCGCCTAATGATTCGGGAAAATGAAGACAATCACATATTGAAATGTCGGCGATTATATCACCAATATGTTGTTGACATGTATGTTAAAATTGAAACGGAGAGATTAACATTTATCAGGTTGAATCAAACTAAACTCCGATCTGAGGAGTATATACACCTTCGAGATGCGATTAATACAGATGGAAATGCACAGAATGTGGGACGGATGACAATTCTTCCAGCAACATACATCGGAAGCCCTAGACATATGCACGAATATGCTCAAGATGCCATGTCGTATGTTCGTCATTATGGTACAGCAGATTTGTTTATAACATTCACTTGCAATCCTCACTGGATAGAAATCAAGCAAGAGTTATTCCCAGGGCAATCACCCACTGATCGTCATGATATTACAGCAAGAGTCTTTAGACTAAAGTTGAAATCTTTGATGGATTTCATCATAAAACATCATGTATTTGGTGAGACACGCTGCTGGATGTATTCTGTGGAGTGGCAGAAACGAGGATTGCCACATGCACACATTTTGATTTGGTTAATTGAAAAGATAAGGCCAAATGAGGTTGATGCAGTGATATCAGCTGAAATTCCTAATGTACAAGAAGATCCAGGATTGCATGAGGTAGTTATTAAAAACATGATACATGGTCCCTGTGGAACTCTTAATCAAAATGCACCGTGTATGATGGATGGCAAATGTTCGAAACGATATCCACGGACATTAATATCGGAAACAATTACTGGTAATGACGGTTACCCACTGTATCGTCGCCGGTCGACAGCAGACAATGGAAGATCAACAATTGTCAAAATAAATCAACAAGATATTGAGATAGACAATCGCTGGATTGTTCCATATTCACCTATTTTATCAAAGACCTTCAAAGCACACATAAATGTTGAATCTTGCCATTCAGTAAAATCTATTAAATACATTTGCAAATATGTAACCAAAGGTAGTGATATGGCTGTCATTGGAATTGGTGCAGAGAATTCGAATGATGAAGTTACTCAATACCAAATGGGCCGCTATGTTAGTAGTAATGAAGCAATTTGGAGAATATTTTCTTTTCCAATCCATGAGAGACACCCTTCTGTTATTCACTTAGCTGTGCATTTAGAAAATGGGCAAAGGGTGTACTTTACGGCAGAGAACGCAGGTCAAAGAGCTGCTCAGCCACCATCTACTACATTAACAAGTTTTTTTGAGACATGTCAAAACGATAATTTTGCACAAACACTGCTATATTCTGAAATGCCAAAATATTATACTTGGAATCAAACTTCAAGGAAATTTATACGACGGAAAAAAGGAAAAGCAGTACCAGGATACCCAGGTGTATATTCGACCGATGCGATTGGTCGAATTTATTCAGTACATCCAAGCAATGATGAATGTTTCTATTTACGACTGCTATTAGTCAATGTACGTGGCCCAACATCATTCCAACATTTACGTAATGTTGATGGTCAATTGTGTGGATCCTACAGAGAAGCCTGTCAACATTTACAATTGCTAGAAAATGACGCTCATTGGGATCAAACTCTCAGTGATGCTGTAATATCCTCACACGCTCATCAAATACGAACATTGTTTTCTATAATCATATCCACATGCTTTCCATCAAACCCAATTGATTTGTGGATCAAGTACAAAGATTGCATGTGTGATGATATTTTGTGTCATATACGGAATAGAATCGGAAATCCAAATATGCAAATCAGTGAAGAAATTTACAACGAAGCATTGATTTTAATTGAAGATATGTGCTTGATGATGTCAAATAAACTATTAATTCAATTAGGCCTGGCCGCGCCCAATCGTCCAATGCATGATGCTTTTAACCAAGAGCTGCACCGAGAAAAACTGTATGATCTCAACAATTTGAAAGATTTCATCGAAACAAATCTTCCACTGTTGAATGAACAACAGAAGTATGTATTTGATACTCTTATGAAAGTAACAAATGATGGAACTGGGGGGATTTACTTCTTAGATGCACCTGGTGGTACAGGAAAAACTTTTTTGATTTCATTAATATTAGCAACAATTCGCTCACAAAATAAAATTGCACTTGCACTCGCTTCCTCGGGAATCGCAGCAACTTTGCTTGAAGGTGGTCGAACATCCCATTCAGCACTAAAATTGCCATTAAATATGCAAAGCAATGAAACTCCAACTTGCAACATTTCGAAGAACTCTGCAATGGCTAAGGTTTTGCAGCAATGTCAATTGATCGTTTGGGATGAGTGCACGATGGCACATAAAAAATCTTTGGAGGCTTTAGACAGAACCTTAAAAGATCTACGTAGCAATCAGAGCCGATTTGGTGGCGCAATGATTTTATTAGCAGGAGATTTTCGTCAGACATTGCCAGTGATTCCACGATCAACGCCAGCTGATGAACTCAACGCATGCCTAAAGTCATCAAATTTGTGGAAATATGTCAAAGTACTTCATTTAAGCAAGAATATGCGTGTTGAGTTGCAAAATGACCAATCTGGAAACATATTCTCTAAACAACTCATTGACATTGGTAATGGCAATTTTCCTATTGACATGTTGACTGGATGCATTAACTTTCCTCAAAATTTTTGTCATTTACCTCAATCACAAGAAGAACTCATTCAGAAGGTATTTCCAGATGTTGCTCAAAATTACAGAAACCATGATTGGTTAAGCGAACGAGCTATATTGGCAGCCAAAAACATTGATGTTAATGAATTAAATTTCAAAATACAAGAACAAATTACAGGCGAATCGAAGATATATAAATCAGTTGATTCGGCAACTAACCAAGACGATGTAGTTAACTATCCACCGGAATTTTTGAACTCGCTGGATTTGCCAGGACTGCCACCTCACAATCTTCATTTAAAGGTTGGATCGGTAATTATAATGTTGCGTAATATCAACCAACCGCGCCTTTGCAATGGCACACGGTTAGCAATAAAAACATTATTAAACAACGTGATAGAAGCAACTATATTGAAAGGAAAGTATAAAGGAGAAAATGTTCTCATTCCGCGCATCCCAATGATTCCGACTGATGTGCCATTTGAGTTTAAACGACTACAGTTTCCAGTGCGGCTTGCTTTTGCTATGACCATAAACAAGTCTCAGGGCCAATCATTAAGTATTTGTGGCATTAATTTGGAGAACCCATGTTTCTCACATGGGCAATTGTATGTTGCCTGTTCCCGTATTGGAAAACCATCAGATTTGTTTATCTATGCGCCAGGCAATCAAACAAAAAACATCGTTTATCAAAAAGCACCACAATAAAAATATAACTGTTTTTTTATTGTTAATCATTATCATTATGATTTACATGATTAAAATTGCTTACTTTTAAATGCTTATAGTGATTTATTTAATTATCTTTAATTTACACCGAATTATTACCAGGGTGACGGTTCTGTTCAGGATAATTTTTTGCAAAGAATTTAAATAAGGTAGAAAAAAAACACATTACAATTTTTTTGACGGGACGAAGTCTGTCGGGTCAGCTAGTATATATATATATATATATATAAATATATTTCATAATATGTATAAAAACGCAGAGAACGTAACAAGAATGAAATAAAGCCAATTTCAAATTCAAAATTCTAAAAGCTAGAATGAATCCATTATACTATTCTTGCCACTTTGAAGTGATTCCAACTTTTCTCAACTCGTCCCAGGTCTACGAGGCGTAGCGCGTGGTATCGTGGCGTAGCTTCGTAGACTCCGTTTATGACGCCGCCATTCGGATGTATGATTAAATGGACTATAAATATATGGCAGGCGAGTTATATAAACAATGTAGTCGTTTTCAGCTATGGCGTAATAGCACGGAAGCTACATTAGCGCCCGACGCATCTAGGCGAGGGGCCGGTGGAAAATTGAGAACGACTAGGAAAACAGAACTATGTTTTTTAACTCTACGAGATATAGATTATTTCAAAAATATATCTTGTTTCAGTCCCTCTAGTGGTGTACAAAGTATTACTTTTATCTTTTTTGTTTTATTTTACATAACAAACTATACAATAATTACATTCAACGGCGGATAGTAATTCTGTTATAGCACCTTATGTAATTACAGCATTAAATTTTTTATAATTTCATGTATTATTCCATTACATCTTTTTTTTTGTGAGACGCTTTGCTGGTATACATACAAAATATTATCGTCGTCAAAAAACTTAGAGTAGTAGTAGAGTAGGATCAATACAAATTATTTTCTTAACTTAACTGAATTAGTTTATATATGTTTTCACATTATTTTGTTTTAATAGCATTCGCGCAAAATTGTACTGGAGCACAATTCGCCCCAATTATAATATGTAGGAATTATGTGTACAAATATGAGTAAACTCTTGAGTTTAAACTTACCCTATATATTGATTCGAATTAATGCTCTTATTCTTGTTGTTTCTTTGATTTTTATGACATCTAAAATTATTCAACTTTCAGAATATGTTACTTTGGTAAGAAGTAGGGTTTATACAAAAACCGACATTTCAAAAAACCGGTTTTCGAATTTTAATTTTACTAGAAAACCGGTTTTTGAATTTCATATAGAAAATAAATTTTTGCTCGAATATTCTGTTTTTATCCGCAAATTTAGTGTAATTAGAGCAGTATTTGACTGAATTTATTTATTGTTAAACTAGCTGACCCGACAGACTTCGTCCTGTCAAAGAAATCTATCAAATCGGTTCTGATTGCTCTGTTGATCTTTTAAGGTTCTGTCTAAAGCATCAAAATATCTTTTATGTGCCATCGTGCATTCATCCCAAACGATCAATTGATATTGCTGCAAAACCTTAGCCATTGCAGATTTCTTCAAAATGTTGCAAGTTGAAGTTTCATTGCTTTGCATATTTAATGGCAATTTTAGTGCTGAATGGGCTGTTCGACCACTTTCGAGTAAATTTGCTGCAATTCCCGATGAAGCGAGTGCAAGTGCAATTTTGATTTGTGAGCGAATTGTTGCTAATATCAATGCTTCGTTGTAAATTTCTTTACTGATTTGCATATTTGGATTTCCCATTCTATTCCGTATTTGACACAAAATATCATCACACATATAATCTTTGTACTTTATCCACAAATCATTTGGGTTTGATGGCAAGCATGTGGATTATAGAAAACAATGTTCGCATTTGATGAGCGTGTGAAGATATTACAGCATCGCTGAGAGTTTGATCTCAATTAGCGTCATTTTCTAGCAATTGTAAACGTTGACGGGCCTCTCTGTAGGATCCACATAATTCACCATCAACAGTTCGTAAATGTTGGAATGATATTGGGCCACGTACATTGACCAATAGCAGTCGTAAATAAAAACATTCACCATGGCTTCGATGTACTGAATAAATTCGATCAATCGCATCGGTGGAATATACATCTGTGTATCCCGGTTCTGGTTTTCCTTGTTTCCGTCGTATAAATCTTCTTGATTCCAAGTATAATTTGGCATTTCAGATGTTTGTGCAAAATTATCGTTTTGACATGTCTCAAAAAAACTTGTTAATGTAGTAGATGGTGGCTGAGCAGTCCTTTGACCTGAGTTCACTGCTGTAAAGTACACCCTTTGCCCATTTTCTAAATGCACAGCTAAGTGAATAACAGAAGAGTAGCTCTCATGAATTGGAAAAGAAAATATTTGCCAAATTGCTTCATTACTACTACCATAGCGGCCCATTTGGTATTAAGTAACTTTTATGTATATTTCGGTCGTCATGTTCTTGTGCAGCACAATTAGATCGGTAATTAGCTTGGTTTGTAGCATTTCATGTTCTTCTACTTAAATTGCCTCGTCTTACAGGAGGCAATACTAAAATATTGTGTCACATGCAATAACTTTTTATTCATAGGTAGATAACAAAACACTACAAACAAAACAAAAGCACACTCAGTAGAGTATAACAGAAAATGCAAGAAAAATACCACCGGCAAGGGCGGCAAATGGACATTGATATTGATTTTTTAAATCTTATATGACTTGAAGTTAAATTCTTTAACGCCATACCAATTTTATCGCCTGAAGTAAAACAAAAGAAATAATATCGAGAAGCCGACTACGATTATTTGTATTAGTTAGCAAAGGGCTGTTTTTAGGGTTTTTCCGACAATTATTCGAATTTTTCTCACCGTAAGAACCATCCTTGGACATCAGCGAACATTTTAAAAAAAGAATTGGCCAAATTGGTCCAGGCGTTGTTGAGTTATGCGCTTACCAACACATTTTGCGATCCATTTTTATATATAAGAAGATTTTATAGATATTAAACAAAATTATTTTAATTTTAATTAGTAGAACTGAAAAATAATTGTTTATCTTGATTAAATACCTTTGAAAATAATTATCCGTTATTCATGCATCATTTTCACATATAAGAATGTAAATATTTTTATGAGGAAAGTTTTCGAATAACTAAAAGTAATACATTTTGAAATAAAAAACAATCAATAAATTAAAATAACAAAACGTATTGAAACATACTTGTTACTATCAATTTTAGTTTTAAAAACGATTAAGCTAAACTAGGGTATTGTGTGTTCCGAGCAATTGTAATTAATTAATTTTAAACATTCTAATGGTTTTTTTTTTAATAAAATAAAATTTCAATAAACTGAGAACGTTTATCGAATTGCTATTTAGACGTATCCTTTGTTTACTCACAAAATTTCCTGAAATAGAAAATACCCTCATACCTGCGACCAAATTATGCTTAATTATTTTTGAAGCCTGATATATTAATTCTAAGTTTTTTGTTCTTTGATTTGTGGGTTTAAAACTTTTTTTTAAAAGTATGAGTAGAGGAAGTTACTTCTTCAAGAAGATGTCACACTGATTTAAATTAATGTATACACTAGTATAAAAATCTAAATTAATATATAAAAAACCTTTCAGGGAACCATGAAGATACTGATAAGATATCAAATGCTATTGAATCGATATGATTTCAAGAATCAAAACGCTTTCATCTATTTTTTACATTTGGTTATATTTGTCATTTGCCATTTATACGGTGAAAACCGACTTTTTCACTAAAAAGCCGTGTTCGAATTCCATAATTTTCGCCCAAAAATCGGTTTTTAAAACCGGTTTTTGAAAACCGACAAACCCTAGAAATAAGTCAGTATCGTGAGCAAGTGTTTTTGATTTGTAAAAAATTGTTCAAAGAAGGCCGAGTGAAAACGACCAAGACCATCCACTGATAAGCTACACATCAACAAAATCAAAGAATTTGTGCTTTGAAATCGTCGATTGACTGCTAGAGAGCTTGATGATATAGTTGGCATTCCAAATGGATTGGAACACTATTTTGGAAGTTGTTTTTACATTGTTTGGTATCTTAAAATAACTAGTAAATAGATAAAAAAAACCTTCACAATGGCATTTCAATACTATTATTTCAGTCTATGCTATTCAATACCAATAATGAATGGTATGTAGTTATATATTGAATATATAAATTTTCTTTCAATCGTTCTCCAGCTCTCATACTAATCCAGTTGAACTTAAACCTCCACGCACAAGAGAAACTTAGATAATGTACTGGATGCGAGCAAATGGAGCGTTTTATTTTATAAATTTGCTTCAACTGTTCCGCTTCAAGGTTGTCTCCTGCAAAGATCTTTGCGACATTGCCAGTTCTTGCGACTTTTATGATATCATAACGCGGATTATTAGATCCGCGGAGTTAACGAAAAGAGAGACAATTACGCGTAAAAATGACATGCAAAAGTTTTGAGCGACGGCAAACTTTTAGATTTTGACGGAATCCGCTTTATCTGAATGCTTTTTATTGCGATCGAGACTAGATTAGTCTTCTAATTGTGATATTAAATTTTACGGCAAATAATACTAGCGTATTAAATTTACGAGTACGATTCGATTTTAGCGGAGAAGTTTTTGAAATGTGCAATGGAGTGAAATTAAAATTAAATTGTAAAAGAACTTCTAACGATATTTTGAGCTCTCATTATTACTATTCATATATATATATATATATATATATATATATATATATAATTAAATTCCAGAAGGAAAAGCTTTTTTTTTTAAATATCCGTTTTCCTAATTTTGTTTGAAATTATTCCTAATCGAATAAGATAAAAATTGTAAATGAATGTATGTGTGTGTTTTTGTGTGAGCCGATTTTTTGTCGAAGTTTTTTCAAAAACCACAAAACTAATTTAAAAGCCGTTCGATATGTAGCTCGATAAAGATTAGCGTTTGCCAATGTGACAATCGGTAAAGCCGTTTCTTTGTAAAAAGCAAAAGAGAGTACAATATTTTGTCCACGTTTTAATCCACAACTTTGAATCGATTTTAAAAGTTCAAAAACTGTTAAAAGGTATTGGTTAGGAATCGCTTTGTTAAGTTTTTAGTAAAGATTGTAAAAATTTGTTCTAAAAAATAATATTTGTACTTAGTAAAACAATAGTTTGCGTAGTCTAAAATAATCTACAAAAAATTATATGCCTACGAAAAACCTACGAGTTAAAAAAAAAATATCAGTGTTTACAATTTTGCTATGACCTTCTGATCAGAAGCGATTCTAATCAGAATAAATGCCAAACATCTAAATACATTCAATGTTTCACAGTTAGCTACTGATTACAGTTGATGTCGCCATTTTTATTAAATACATTTTTGAAACACGAAATAGTTGAACTAAAATGTGCTAAACAAATTAATTTAATGTATACAAATGAAGATATAATAGGCATGTATATTTGAAATCGTTTTTAAATTTTTAAATTTAAATTTAGTCTAAGCAAATAATATATTTTCGAAAGACAGTTGATCATTTTACCTAAATTGTGAAATCTCAAATCTTAATAATTAAATTGATTATGTATGCATATCGGGAAGCTCATGCAAATTGCCTTTAGGCAAAATACTGCTTACACAGTTTTTTTTTTCTCAACGTACAGATTAGTTTTTATATACAGGGTGTCCATACAACTCAATCTCAAGCCGGAACTTAGTGACAATATTGATTGTAACTAGTTGGAAAATAATAGAAAGCAAAATTATACCATGCAATTTAAAAATTATAAGCTTTTAAGTACAACCTAGAGCATAAGTCAAAGTGTGACCATTTCTTAGTGATTGAAGTTAATTTTTAATATTTTTGTCCATCGAAACTTTGGAACTGTAACCGTAAATAACTTCAATTTTTAAGACCATGGTGAAGAATATAATAGTTACACTAAGTTTTACTAATTAAGTCTATTTATTAACGATTAAGTTAGCATTTACAAAGTTGATCGACTTTAAAAGTGTAGCCCCTATTAAAACTTACTAAAATGCTTTGGCAAGTTTCATTATAAGTTTGCGCTTCTAATCACGATGTCAATACTGTATTGAGTAAATAGGGATGTTTTTAGGGCCTTTTTAAATTTTTTTGATCACATTTTGACATTTAGATTTATTATTTCAAAACTGCATAAAATAATATTTTTCTATTTTTTTCATGATATTTATAATCATACTAATTGTGGTTTCCTCCTTATAATATCATTATTGATGTTTTTTGCAACAATTGCTATAATAATAAAATGGCAAATTAAAATTGACGGAAGAAGAATAAAGTTTGAAATTAATATACTAATAGAATACAATATCTTCCAATATCCCTTGAATTTAATTTTCTGTCCAATTCATTTCACTAAACATCTTTTCTTCCATGCACTCAAGTTACCGTTGTTATTTGCACTTTTACTCTGAACAGTTGTATTCGAAACTTTTGTGCACATCATTAGACTTAAGTTTCCTCTAAGCTTAACAGTTTGAGTTAGGCAAGAACACAGCTTTAAGATTCGACAATAAGAGAGCAACCGAAAACCGAACGCAAACACGCCGGCAAATAGAAGATAGTAGTTTCAGAATGCCATTTCCTCTCGGTTCGGGTACATAGTGAGCTCGGGCCTTGTAGTTAACGCGATACAAACAGAAACTCCCCACGAGAAGTTAGTTTAAATCTAAACTCCGTTAGACACAACTACAATGGCCAAAGTTGCAGCCGTAGAAGCCGTAGAAGCCGTAGAAGCCGTAGATGTTGGAGAATCTCTCACAAGACAAGGACGATACAAGTTCGGAGCAACCCCGCCAGCGGTAATGTCATTACGCTGTAAAATGACTAGAGTTTTCTGCTGAACTAATACGAGGAGTTGTGTCTTGGAGATCAACTATCACAAGCATGCTACGATACGACCTCGATCAGAGACGGATTTGTCCAAGAAACTTTAACTTCAGTAGAATATTTTAATTTCTTCTACTGAAATATTACCAATATGACGTTTCATTTTCATATATAACCATGACTAATCAGATTTACAACTTTTTAGAATTTAGAGCATTTAGACCTTACACATTCAAACGACTCATATTGTGTTTGATATATCATATTCATATAAAATATGAGTATTAACCGTTAACCAATATGCTATACTCGCGACATTGTAAAATTCTAAAATAATCGAATGCCGACATACACGCGGCATAACGTAATCAGAAGAATTTTGAGCTTGTTTCTGTAATTTTCAATATAGGCACAATACACTTACTATTAAATTATTTATTAGTAAATAAATTTGAATATTGGCCAACAAGCAATATTAGACCAAATCCATTTCATTCAAATCCAATATAGTCCAGTCATTTAAGCTTAAATTAACTAAGAATCTCGGAACTCGAGATACCCAGCTGTAAGTCCGTAAATACTTGTATATTGACACTCTAAAGTTGTCTCAAAACCTACATATGGTATTGACACCCTATCATATATAGGTTTTTAGACAACTTTAGTGTGTCAATATACAAGTATTTTCAGACTTACAGCTGGGTATCACAAATTCCGAGGTAAACTTACTATAATGACTGGACTAATGAAACGATATTAATTATGCAACTTTCCTCGCTTTGGAAATTAAGCACAACATTTCTTAAAAATCCGTTGACCTACTAGGCATAGTTTTAGGTAATGTGCTCGTTCGTTAAAGGCTAATACATTTACTGTATATTTGCTAGAAATAAATTTAGAACGTCTTAATAAAAAAACAAGGATTTAATTCGGATAATATAAACGAAGGTGGAGCACTCAGTTGACATTTTTGTTAGTTCTAATCCCCACTTTGCAAAACCCAATATCATGCAGTAGTGATATCCATTTTTTACTTCGAAATATAGATCGAAAAAATTATATGTAATAGTATGTAATTGAAAATACCGTATTTCAAGCAGGGCAGTGTAAAATGGTGACTAAAAATTCTCACACTATCTTTCTCTGATTTGAGTTAAAGTTCAATTCAGCTCATGGGGCTCTCCTTAAGCAGAGCATATACTTGTATAAATAAGTAAATAAAAAATTATATAAACAAGTATAAGTAATATATAGTTTGTATAATGAATAATTTCTAGGCTAAATGCAAATAAGTTAGCATGGATTGTTTCTACAATCTCATTATATATTGCATTTATTTTCTAAACGATGCGTCAAAAAAACTAGTTAATTAGAATTTGGTATTTTTGCATCCTTTTGTAACATTCAAGTTGTATTCTATCAATAACAAAAACACATCATTTCTTCCAATAAATTCCCGCGGAGTAAGTTACAGTAATCTTCCAAAAACCGAAAATAAAAATGTTTACATAGCTTTAAGGTTTCTGAACGTTTTGGCGTACCTTAAAAAAACTGGATGTATGTATATGTTTGTGTATATATGCTAGGACAAAATGTTTCATCTACGTTTTTGAGAGCACTGATAAACCAATTCGAAAAAGAATTCGATTTTTATTGATAAGGAGACAAGCTCAGTAGTTTTTGAGAAAAGTTGGACTTGCCGTTTTGGAGATACGGAGCAAAGAGTACAAAAAACTAATTTTTGTGAGAACTGAGTATTCGATTTGAATACATTCAAAAATCGTTCCACCTGTTTTCCAATTTTTGCAAAGGCAGGTCTAGCAATTTTGGAAATCCAGAAAAACATAAAATAAAGGCCATTAGGCTTTTTGGCAAAAATCGGATTATTTCGACAGTATCGACCAACTAACATGAATAGGTATGAAAAACTTTTAAGATATTTCAACATTTTCAAAAATAGTGTTTTTTTCAAAAAATCAGTAGGTAGTTTAAAAAAATCATATCCTAAAATAATTTAATATTTTCTGAAAAGACATTTTTAATGTTTAAATTCTTCGAATGTTACAAAAATTTTCACAATTTTCGAAAATGTTCGGAAAAAAATTAAATTTCACAATCGTTTCTGAGCTTTTAAATATTATTCCAATACGTGAAGTTCCAGCAATTTGCCTCAATGCACTGTACCATGCACCACTATTTTTTTTGTTAACATTTTTTTTGTAATTTGGGTACCGTAATTCTGAATATTCTAGATAAATATCTAGAATATCTATAATTATTAATATATCTATAATTATTAATGGTTCGTGTAGGTATTCATCACTGCAGCTCTGCATCGCATTACCAAACTGTGAACTAGCAGAGAAGTAACTTGATTCCAAATTTTCAAATAGTCGTGTTTGCACTATGCGAGTTTACTGCAACTGGGGTAGAAGGCTGAGAGCCAGAATCTATTTGACAAAATAGACTCTGCAAATAACTTCTGTGATATTAAATGTAAATATTCAGAGCGCGGGATAGTTCGTTCGTGTTTATCTTTCAATATCATTTTCTCGATTTCGTATTAACAACTACACGTATGTTATATTGATTTAAAATGCATGTTTTGTACTTTCTGCAGAATCCATATATTATGGAATTGAATGAATATTTGCTTCACAGCCCGTATATCAAGTTCCCAAGTGGTATGAATTACAAATAAGTACGCGATTTTGCATTATTTTTTTTTGCATATATTAAAGTACATCAAATTTTCTTGAGTCGTTTAGGTCCATTGATAGAATAATAACAAATATAAAAAACATTAAAATGAAATATAAACGGCTTCAAGTATCAATTTTACGAAAAGCATTTTTTTAACTTATGTTTTTACCATGATTATTTTTTAATAGTGTGTCATAGTCTTTCTTTATTACTTCCAAAAAGGTACTCACATCAAGATATAGCGATAGCTATTCTAAAAATAGTGAATTGTTAAAAAACTGGATACATATGTAAAAATTACGTATTTTTAACTTCCCGTAGGGTAAGTTATTGTAATGGGCCGAAAATCGGAATTGAAAATTTTGACATTTCTCGGCGTTTTGAAGGTTTCTGAACGTTTTGGCATACCTCAGAAAAAATGGATGTGTGTGTGTGTGTATGTGTGTGTGAGTGTGTATGTATGTATGGATACAAATTTCCAGTCACGTTTTAGGGCGCACGGATCAACCGATTTGAATGGTTCAAAAAACATTCGATTCCTATTGATGAGGAAAAGAGCTGATTAGTTTTTGGCAAAGGCAGGTCCAGCCGTTTTGGAGATACGGAGCAAAGAGTGCAGAAAATAGAAATCGAATTTTTGAGAGAACGGAGTATCCGATTTGAATGATCTGAAAAACATTCAATTAGTAATGATTGGGTGAAGTGCGTATCAGTTTTTGGCAAAGGCAGGCCCAGCCATTTCGAAACTACGGAGCTAAATGTACAAAAAATGTCAGTTTTTGAGAGAACTAAGCGTCCGATTTAAATGATTCAAAGAACTTTCTGCTTGTCTTAACAAAATAATTGATTTTGGAAAAAAAAAATTTGTTCCATTTTTTTTTTTTTTAAGTTTTTGTATATCGAAAATATTTCAGATTTTATTTTTAATTCTGACTATAGTTGTAATATACTTTACAAATAATTTCAACTCTGCAATTCAGTTTATATAATTCTCATAAATATTAGACAATGTTACAATATTTATAATAATCTATTTGAAAACATTCAGTATTCCTCGAACATTTCGGTGCGGTACGGGAAGTTCCAGCAGTTTGCCTTAAGGCACGATGCCATAATTGCCTCAAGACAGAATTCCACTTACAGCTAGTTTTAAGTTAATTTTATTCAGTATTAAAATTTATTATTCTAACAATGCCCCATTTAAAAGTTTTATGATACGGCTTTTTTGTGTTACATTCAGAAAAATTATGCTATTTTATATACGAGTACATTTATATAGATTTACTATCAGAATATATTCAATCAACTAATTGATCTTAATGATGTTGCTTAAATTTTTACTTAATTTTTTTTTTAAATTATTATTCAAAATTATATGAATATATTGAATCATATTTGGTAGTTTTGGTTATGATTGATAGAACATACTCACATTCTACCTTTTTTCAATTAGTTGCGATCTTGTTAATTAACTTTGATTAATTGTACACTCAATCTTGTTAAAAATCTTATTATTAAACTTCCTATCAAATTTACTCATTTTCAATATGTTGCATATTATATAGCCAAATTATATATTTTATTATTTTGTCTTACAATACTTTTTTTATCGCTTTTGTGCGATACCTCAAATTAGGTTTCATACAGAAAGCGACATAGTAGACGAATTTTCTAATAATATTTTTTTCAAGTCTTTGTACAAAAACTATTAATACTGGATCAAAAAATTATAACAATACATTTTCAGTAATTGAAGTAAATTATTGCTGAAATTATTTCCTGTTTAATTTTATTGATAATAAATTTATATATGCAATTTAGTAAAACAATAACATGAAGAATAATTGACAAGGTTAATTTTGTATCTATTAAAGTAAATGTTTTCATAGCGAGGGATGGATATCGATTTGCAATAGTGTTTCCATCAATCTGGTGCATTTTGATATATTGGATATTTTAAATTTTTATGAATTATTTATACATTCACGCTGTTATTTTGTACCTAAAAATGTTCATGTATTCCATAATTTTCCCCTAAAAACCGCTGTTTAAAAACTGAAAAATCCTAAAGTAATCTAATAACGACAAGTGAAATATTTATTATTAACTTATGTTCATGTTCATTATTTTTAACTTCCCGAAGGAGAAGTTTATGTGTTCATAAAAAAATCCGATTCGCTAATTTTATGTTTTCTCGACGTTTCAAGCCATTCTGAATCGAATGAGACCAAATTTGGAAAAAGTATGTGTGTGTGTGTGTGTGTGTGTGTGTGCGTGTGCGTGTGCACCAACAGATTTTTTGCCGTAAATCG